TGCTTCAATGACTACCGTCCAATTGCATTGACTCCCATCATCATGAAGTGCTTTCAACGGCTTGTCATGCAGCACATTAAGTCTGTCCTGCCCCCCACTTTGGACCCATTTTAGTTAAACATATGCCATCTATCTGATAAACTGTGTCTGTATACTTACCCATGGATGTTTCTTATGTGCCTTCGGGTCCTTCACACTGATCAAGGGAAGTGCTTACACTTAGTGTTTAGTAGAAGATTTGCCGTTGACTTAATGAACTGTATGTCTGTAAACTCACCTGCTGATTGTTACAGTCATATGTATATGCCTGTTTGTTTTGCTTGTGTGTGTGTGCTCTCTCTCTCTCTCTCTCTCTCTCTCTCCTTCTCTCGCTCGCTCACTTGCTCCCTCTCTCTCTATCTCTGTCAATTCTCAGGTTTGCCCATTCCAGTATCTCATTCGTCTGTGAAGATGTCAACCTTAATTCCACCTTGTGACGTCATCACCTTCACAACCAATCAGCATAGGAGCTCAAAGTTTAAAGGGACATGAGCGGGGAAGCTCGTTCTGCTTTTGCTCTGACTTACTAGCTGTCTTTGCTTGCTTTTGTGTGTGTTTTTGGCTTTTTGTTATGTGCTGTGATGTTGACGTGAACTTAGTTTTGATTTTGGTCTTGTTCTTGTGTTGATCGCTGTTACTGTCTTGGATGTGTATATGTGGCAATCCCCTGACGTCTGGCGTCAACCTTTCCCTTGGATTCAAGGAGTTTAGATGTCACATGACACACTTTGCATCACGCAGATAACTTCACTGTCTAAACACACAAGTCTAGAAGTGAGCAACACCCGTTGTAAGTTTTCTTCGTATTTTTAGTTTTTAGTAGTAGTTTAGTCATAGTGTGTAAACGCTGAAGATGGTGTGTTGGTTTATTTTGTATTGGAAAGTTTAGAGTGTAAATATTAGCTAGATTGGGGTTTTTGTTATATTGCTTTCATTTATTTGGTGCACTTAATTCTCGTTACCCCTTAAAAGTCGTAATACTTAAACTTAAAAGTCGTAACATTTAAATGGGGGCTCGTCCGGGATCTGAACGTGGGACCTCTCGCACGTTCGTTCCCACGAACAAACTAAATGTGAGATCGATAACATCAGATGCTGTGCAAGAAGATCGCTAATAGCATTAACCCCACTCCTTTACTTCTTCACTTTGATTAAGTGACTTTGTTTTGAATAAAACTGCTAAAAATGATAACCATCCATGTCTTCCTTGTCTACCTGCATGACAGAATTTCGGCCCTGAAAAAATCATCATGGAAGCTAGCGCTGTGCTAACTGGAAGCACTCTACTTGCTCGACCCATGAATTACTCGGGCAAACCGAGCACCTGCAATGGTTTTCTCTTTCGATGTTCACTGTATAAGGAAGCTAATGCTTATGAATTTCCAAATGAAATTTCGAAAGTTGATTTCATGATATCCCTACTTTCAGGCCGAGCTCTACAGTGGGCTGATGCTCTATGGAATGCCAGCTGCCTGGGGATGGCTACCTCACAAACGTTTATAAGCCACTTCGTAGAGATATTTACAGTTCCCATCACTTCCCTGTCAGTACATGACGAACTGATTAATCTCTGCTAAGGAAATCTCACCATCCATGAGTATATGCTGCAGTTCAGAACACTCGCTACCAGCAGTGGGTGGAATTAAGTAGCCCTCCTAGCAGCTTATTGTAAGGGGCAAAAACCTCATATTCGTAAACTAATGGTCATTTACAATGATAATGCTAACTTAGAAACCTTCATCAAGAAAGCTATCACCGTTTCCCAACATTTATCTGCCTGTCCTTCTTCCTTATCTGATAACCCAATATCACCTCCCAAAGTTCCATCGGCAGCACTGGAAGCTGAGGAGCCGTTGATAATGGATGCATACCACCTGGAATCCTCTGAACAGCGAATCCTTCACCAGCTCTGGCTGAACTGTAGAGAATCTACTCACCTCATCTCAGCCTGCCCCATTCGTCTGCCTTGCATAATGGTGAGTAAAGTCATGCTCACTCTATCTGTCTCTCTTATATGACAGATAGACACAGCACGCAGAATTAACTGTGAACTCCCGTACTCTCCCCATGAATGTGCTGGTGGACTCGAGAGTGGCTGGAAACTTTATCTTTTTCAACTTCATCTCCCAACATCGTATTCCCTGCATTCGGAATGAGATTCAGTACCAAATTACAACCATACAGAGTTTACCATTAGGTGATGGCAAAATATCCCTGCATACAAAGGAAGTAATTCTTCTCTTTCCCCATAACCATCAAGAAAACTCTCTTTACTCATTCTTTCTTGTGCCAACGTTGATGTCATCCTGGGCAGACTGTGGCTCAAAAACATCAACCCCATATCAACTTACAGACGAGATCCTGGGATGGAGTACCGCTTGTAATAACCACGATTATACTATTCCCTCTGCTGTTCACTCCAAGAAATGCACTCTATTATCCATCCAAGCCACAACCATTGGTTCATCACCATGAGGCGATGAATTCGTACAGCAAGAAGGCTCTCCATCAAGGGTTCAGACCATCCACCTCTCCTGCTGCATCCAGTTTCTCCTTCATCTCCAAGATCTCCATTGTTGTATAATAGTTTATAACAATGGTATGCGGATCTATTCCCATAAACTTGAAGAACATCAAGACCATGTTAAGCAAGTCCTTCAACGTCTCCGAGGTAATCAACTATTCCTCAAAGCTGAAAAGTGTGAATTCCATAAAACCATCATCTCCTTTCTCGCATACATGGTTACCACCGATGGGGTCAGTACGGAGCAAAGCAAAGTGGATGCCTTTTCTCAATGGGAAACTCCAAAAACCATCAAAGAACTACAACGATTTCTAGGCTTCGCCAACTGTTTATAAAGAACTGTAGTATCCTTTCTGCTCCTTTAATTTCCCTTCTCAAAGGCAAACAATGTATTTTCACCTGGACCCCTGAAGTGCATCCTGCCTTTGACAAACTGAGAACTATGTTATCTACAGCACTATCCTTCGTCGTTCGGACCCTTCACTGCCTTTCATCATGGAAGTGGATGCTGCTGACGACGGAGTAGGCGCAGTACTCTCCCAATGGTCTGGTGAGCCCGAAGTCCTCCTTCCGTGTGGGTACTACTCCAGGAAATTAACATTTGCTGAGCAAAATTATGGCATTGGAGACACCCAAAGCTCTTCACAATCATGAGGGGAGTCTCTTCACACCACCACTAGTGTGCAGCATCCACTTGGATGATGTGATGGCAACCACAGCACAACCGCACCAGTGGGCTCACCACACACCAGCTATTGGTGGAGTGAAGAAACAGTGATAGAGCCAATTCGGTGGATAGGGATGATTAGAGGGCCATGATGGGTAAGGGCCGATTGAGGGACAATGGCCAGGACACTGGGGTTACACCCCTACTCTTTACAAGTAGTATCATGGGATTTTTAATGACCACAGAGAATCAGGACCTCGGTTTAACGTCTCATCCGAAAGACGGTGCACACTGACAGTGAAGTGTCCCCTTCACTTTACTGGGGCATTAGGACTCACACAGAGCACAGGTTGAGCGCCCCCTGCTGGTCAAACTAACACCACTTCAAACATCAACCTAGATTTCCCATGTGGTCTCCCATACAGGTATTGACCAGGCTCAGCCCTGCTTAGCTTTAGTGAGTATACCACTCCTGGATAGTACGCACACCTCCCTTGGCTCAGGACATCCTGGCAGCAGGCAAACCCTCTCGCTCCTCAAACAGAAGTATTGGTGGCCCAAAATTACCCATGTTGTTGACCGGTACATTAAGGGTTGCTTGGTCTGTGCCGTCTCTACAACTCCACGCCGCCTGCCTGAAGGAAAACTGCAGCCATTACCCATTCCCCGCCGACCCTGAACCCATTTAGGAATTTACTTTTCCACTGGTCTGTCACGTTCAAAAGGGTATACCACCATTCTTGTAGTAGTAGAAGATTGATTTTCAAAGTCTTGTAAACTAATACCTCTGAAATGTCTTCCTACACCCCTGGAAACAGCAAAAGCCCTTTTCCAACAATTACCGCTGAGAATATTGTATCAGACAGAGGACCTCAATTAATCTCCAGGGTCTGGTAGGCATTCTTCCGTCTTCTGTATACTACAATCAGCCTTTCTTCTGATTACCACCTGCAGACGAATGAACAGACAGAGCGAAAAAAATTTTCCCAGTACCTCCGTTCGTACTCCGGCAGCCACCAAAACACCTGGAGCCAGTATCTACCATGGGTTGAGTATGCACAAAATTCTCTTCATTAAACCACTACTTGTCTGACCCCATTCCAATGTGTCCTAAGTTATTGGCCATCCTTGTTTCCCTGAACCAACTTCATCTTTTCCTCTTCTTCCATGGATGTTTCTTATGAGTCTTCGAGTCCTTCACACTGATCAAGGGAAGTGAATATTCTCATCTGGTGTTTGATAGAACATATGCCATCCATCTGATGAACTGTGTCTGTATACTTACCCACGGATGTTTCTTATGTGTCTTCGGATCCTTCATACTGATCAAGGAAAGTGCTTACACTTAGTGTTTACTAGAATATTTGGCGTTGACTTGATGAACTGTATGTCTGTAAACTCACCTGCTGATGTTCCCATGAACAAATCATATGTGAGATTGATAACATCAGATGCTGGGCAAGAAGATCACTAACAGCATTAACACCACTCCTTTACTTCTTCACTTTGATTAAGTGACTTTGTTTTGAATAAAACTGATAAACGATATCCATCCTTGTCTTCCTTGTCTACCAGCATGATAGTATGTTTCAATGTTGAGTGTGATTGTTCTATTAATATTCATAATTAAATGAGATAATTTTGCCACAAAATTTCTGAACCTGCCCCAATGTGAACACAAGATCCGATTAGACAAACTTGTTAAGGATATGATTAACCTTGTGTGGGGGAAAAAAAACTAATTATAACTATGAATTGTTAAGAACTTACTGTTACTTTTGATCTCATCCCCTGACTTCTGGATGGTCATTCTCTGGTGCTCGACCACACAAGTGTATAGGCTCTTCTTCCAGTCTTCTTGAGAGACATGAAGGCTACTACTTCTCTGGAAGGTCCCGTCCTCATTTGGCTTTAGTTCTCTAAGCTCAACATTCTCACCATGATCTTGTCCATTTTTTAACCAGGTAATGATCACTCCTGATGGGTAAAAACCAGTGGCAAAACACTCCACTGGAGAGGATGGATTCTTCTGCAACAGAAACACCTCAGGATCTATAAATAAATAAATTAGATACACTTACATTAGATAATAAAAAAATCTACTTGTTGAACTTCTCCAAGACAAAGTACCTCTGATCTCCAAATCAGCTTTCCTTAATCCCAGAAACTGTTTTAACCAGTACACACACTCATATTTGTAGTAATGTTGTAGAGTTTTGAGCTGTTCTCTGTTACTGTTCCACTTCTGCACAGTGATCTCTCCCTGCTGAACCGGTGTGATGTATCTGATCTCCCTCATATCCAGCATAACATAATCCTCTCCATCATATCCATACTGATCAAACCCATGTGACTCTTCAGTTTCTTCATCCCAATCACAGCCATACATCCTCTGATAAACATGAACACCTGACAGAGAACAAGTGTAAAGGGGATGAAAAAAGGTCATACATGAATATATATTGTCTGTATATATATATATATATATATATACAGTTGAAGTCAGAATTATTAGCCACCCTGAATTTTTAATGCCCGTTTATTTTTTTCCCCTAATTTCTGTTAATGGAGGGAAGATTGTTTCAGCACATTTCTAAACATAATAGTTTTAAAAACTTATTTCTAATAACTGATTTGTTTTGTCTTTGCCATGATGACAGTAAATAATATTTTACTAGATTTTTTAAAGACACCTCTATACAGCTTAAAGTGAGATTTAAAGGCTTAACATGGTTAATTAGGTTAACTATGCAGGTTAGGGTAATTATGTAAGTTACTGTATAACGATGTTTTGTTCTGTAGACTATTGAAAAAAATTAGCTTAAAGGGGCTAATAATTTTGTTCCAAAAATGGTCTTTAAAAATTTAAAAACTGCTTTTATTCTAGCCGAAATAAAACAAATAAGACTTTCTCCAGAAGAAAAAATAATATAAGACATACTGTGAAAATGTCCTTGCTCTGTTAAACATCATTTGGGAAATATTTTAAAAAGAAGAAAAAAATTAGAAGAGGGCTAATATTTCTGACTTCAACTATATATGTACACACACAAACCTTAAACCTTATAACTTTTTGTCCATCTCACCATTGCTCTGATTGAATCGCTGCATTAGAACATTAATATTGCTCCTGTAGATCTGATGGACATCTCCTCTAATCTTACAATCTTCTTTCCATATTTCTTCAGACGCGTATTCCTTCATCCAGTCCTGTTTGGGAATCAGTTTATTTGTGACACTGTCATAATAATCAATCTGTTCGCCATCAAGTATGGCTACAGCAATAAAGATTGGTGTTTCTGATGCTCCTCTGATTCCAGTATATGTTGTGATGAGGCTGTGATACCCTAAAAAGTATTAAATATATACAACAAAAATACATGAAACATTTAAACACAAAACACTGAAAATCAAAGCAGCACCATATGGGTGTCATAGCATCACATCAAAATACTATATGTTTACTCTGTGTTATGGTTCATCCCAAATGCCACAGAGCCCAGAGAAGTTGACTGCACTTCAAGGACACTGTTAACATAGGGCTTCTTTTTGACACAGGGCAGTTGATCTGCCATTTGTGGATGTAAATACATATTGTGATATTTGACTATGGTTTGCTGCAGTAGTCCTGAGCCCATGTGGTGATATGGCTCATAGATGAATGGGAATTCTTGATGCGTGCAGCCTGAGGGATTGTAGATTACGGTTGTTCAGTTTAGGCTTGCGCCCTTGTCCTTTACACACTGAAATTCTTATAGATTCCTCAAACCAGTTAATGATGTTTTGCACTGTTGAAGGTGAAATATCCAAATGTCTTCCTCTCTTCCCTTGAGGAACTTTGCTTCTCACATATTTGTTATTAAACTAGCGATCCTCGGTCCATCTTTGCTCCAATAGGACAAGACCTTTCTTGGATGCTGTTTTTGTACCAAATCATAATTACAATCACCTGTTCAATCACATATTTATTTCACCAGTTTACCTGATTACTTGCCCTAAACTGCTCCTGTCACAAACTTTTTGGAATGTGTGGCAGGTCTGAATGACAGGAAAGAATGTATATTTACAAATGAAATGAAGTTGACCAGACAAAACATGAAATATTTTGTGTTCATGTTGTCTATACAAATCAAACTAAACTTGGCAATCACTTCTTTCTTTTTTTTTATATGCATTTCCATACTGTCCCAACATTTTCTAAATTGTGGTTGATTCTTAGTGCTTACTATTGGTAGTTGTACATTTTTATTATTATTGTAAAAAGGATTTTTTACTGTTTGTAAGATGCTTTTTTGAAGGTTGGTTCTGCTTTCACATTTTTTATAAGATTAGATTTTTCTATATATAAAAACATTTAAACAACATATTATTAGAAAAATAATCAGATCCACCATGCGATAAAAGTAAACAAAAATATTTACATATAAACATTGTTTTATAGCAAGTTTTTTTTTTATTTATTAAAAATAAAACTGAATATATTAAGAAACACACACACATATAGCAAAGTGGAATTAACCCTGAACATAACTTGTTCCAGATTAGCTAAATTTCAGAGCATAAGTTTTAAACGTTGCATGCACCTATTCCTTTTACATAATCTGCTTTCAAGAATAGGCTCTAGTCTTTCACCACTTGTAATGAAATGGTTTCTTTAATTTGTACTCGTTTTACTAATTTCAACCATTAATAACCGTATATGAGTTTTTACAATATTTTAAATATATTGCACAAGTGAGCTAGATTAAAAAATATTTTCTGCGTTCAACACATAAAAATAGCTAAAGGCTATGTTAACAGACTCACAATGATGTTACAAAATAAATCTCACCTGAGCAAACAAAAGGTATGCAGATAAAAACAACGATGATCTTCATTATGAACCAGAATCCACAAGTATAAATAACAATTTAAGAGCAGTTACTGAAGAGTAATGGAAATCCCTACCATTGTCTGTACACTGGAAACATGCAAGTGAAGCACATCAGCATAGTCAACACGGAAGTTCAGGCTCATGTTACTTTCTTCAGAAACTGGTTTTTCCTGGCAATTTAGGTGTGGTCAAAAGATTTACATTTCTCTTTGACGACAGCTGCTAAATGAAGTCAGTCAAGATTATGGCTTTATGTCCATAATGAAGTTTATAATTTTTTTCTTCAACTTGCCTTTTGTTTACTCAGGTAAGATTGACTTTGAATTCATACATCAAATTGTTAGCATTAACCTTTAGCTTCTTCCATGTGTTGAACTTTCGATGTTTCTTTCAGATATTTTTTTTCACCCAGTATTTTCCAAGTCTAAGTGTAGAAATGACTAAAAATATACATGTGTAATGTAATGTAAAGCTGTGCAGGTGTGTTTTTTCTCAAGGTTTAGTGAAATATAGTGGTGTTGTGGGAAAGTAATGATTCAAAATTAAAATGAAAAACTTCTTTGTGTCACTTGGTAATTTGTTTTAATGATGTATAACATAGGTTGTTAGTCTTTTCCAGATTTATGTTGTGGTTTCTTGTGTTGTGTATAATATATATATATATATAT